AGCTGGGAATCTGAAGGGTCTGGAGAGATTCTGGATGAAGGAATTGTCTCTGATCTCTTGTAAGGTGCTCTCTAACCTCATCAGGCATTATAGGAGAAAATTTAGAGCTGTTAAACTGGCAAATGGAGGTTTCAAAAAGTATTGAATAAAAGGGTGCCGTTAATTGTGGCCAATGTGAATTAGAGAAAAACATTTATTTCATAATGATATTTCCCCCAATTTTAAATTCTTATATTCCAATGAAAGGTTAGATTTTTGTGAATTTTTAAAATAAAAGATCAAAAGGATTAACAATGCAGATTAATTTTCACAGCCTTCTTTGATCATATTTACCAAGGGTGCCAATATTATTGGCCATGACTGTATATATAAACAGTTTATTCTGTATGTTATGTTTTTACTGCACCTGATTGGAAATATAAAGCATGAGACTATGAGGTTTTCATTTCTTTTTCTTTATACCTAACTTGTACTAAATCAACCAAATCATCAGTCAGAAGCTTATGGAAGGGTCAGAGATTTAGTAGTTCACTCACTGCATATAGAACTTCCTTAATTGTACGTACTGAAATATAAACAAGCAAATAAAACTGGGTCTGATTTTGATTTAAGGGTCATTTAAAAAATAAAAACTACAATATTGAAGGTTTTTGAGCTTAAAACAGTCACACATTAATATGCCTCTCATGAAAAAGTTATTCTATTCATTCCACCAGACGGCATTCATAATGTGAACAAAGAGATAATACATTTAATTACTTTGCTAAATTAATTGTTGGCATACATAGAATCTTAGAGGATAACAAAAATGCATTACAAGCAATATTCAACATTAAAAGGAGGTTCCTGTTTTTAAGTTTAGGGGCAGTTAATGAAGTCTCTCCCACCACATACGGGAGTTCACAAAATACACATAAAACGAGGAAAGGTTAAAAGGTTGCTGAAGCAGCACATACTTCTCATGTGTGCATGCACATTTTGCAAAAACTCTAAAGTAGACATTTCAGCAATCTCATGAGCTTTTAAATACATCAATAAAAAGTAAAAAGTACAGTCATTTTTTTTGTTAGGCCAGAATTTTTTACTACCTGAACACAAACATGGCGGTTTTATTTAAGATATGTTAATAGCATTCAAATGCGACCAGGGTTACAGTTAATCTCAGCAAATGGCACTTTAAGACAAATAGCTTCCTAACCACAAAACGTACTTGAACAGCACATAAATCATGAGATTTTTAAGAAATGTGCTACCCTTTCCACAATGCAGCAGCTAGACAGTTCACACTTAATTCAGTATTATTAATATGGCATCAGAAAGATGCAGCAAGCGCATAAGTAGGGAGGAAAAGTGATTTGTGTATTTGGTTAACACCACAATTTTTCTTCTGAAATAAATGGGATTTTTAATGTTTTGATGACCTGTTTTCAGCACTAAATTTCTGTTTGACCCATAAATCTTTAGATATTCAGAATTCACAAAATAGACTGGGATCTACAAAATAGATCTATTAATAGCTAAAAAAAAAAAAAAAAGAGGCATTTTCTGCAATGCAAATCACTTGCTAAGGTCAAGGTTACTCTGACTGAGTAAAACAACATTCTCAAATCCTGAATAGGAGTTAAGTAGTTCAATGCAGTGCATATAGCCTTTTTCTTAAAGGAACAGTTCACAAAAAAAATTTAAACCTCTTCATTTACTCAACCTCATTTCTTTCACAAAGTGAGAAAAGGACAATTAAAAAAAATGACAACAAAAATGCATCATAAAAATCATAAAAAACAGTCCATATGACTTGTGCAATATATTTCAGGTCTCCTGAAGTCATATGATGGCTTTGTCTGAGCAACAGACAGATTAATATAGGGCATGGATCGTATGGACCACTTACATTTTGAACACAAGCCTCATTCACTTTCATCATGAGGAAAAAAAAAGTTGTCAGTACATTCTTTATCATTTCTCCTTTTGTTTCACAAAAGAAAGAAACTGCTCCAACTCATACTGCTCAAGAACAATTTGATGCAGAGTACATGGTGAATATTTTTATTTTTGTGTGAACTATTCCTTCAAGCCCCACAATGAACCACTAAAAGGAAACATGAACGGAATTTTCCAAAATGTAGCCAAGCATAACATTCTTGTAATCACAACCAGAACAGGAGCATTTCTCATGAGATGTTATTCTCTTTAAAGCACGCTGTGCTGATCTGTGAGCCACTCAAACCTCCCGTGTTCTGTGTCATGGGTCATCAAAGCACTGCAGTGAAACCAGACCCCTCTCTGCAGGAGAGGCCAACAAGGCCAAGCAGACGGCCTCTCAGTTAAACCCACTGCCTTTCTGACACTGACTCGATTCTAAAAGACGTCATGTCTAACAGCACCATTTATCTGTGACAATATTCACAATAAAATTACAGCATCACATACCTTACTGCAGATTAAATGAAAAGGTAAAATGAAGGCCCAATTAATAGGCGTTTTTTCCAAAGCCATCCTATATTAAAATAGTGAAAATCCACATTAAAAAGCAGTAAATATGCCACACTGCATTCTAAAAGCCTAAAAGTGATTTAAAACGTTGACAAATTTTTTTTTAACAAAATTATTTAGCATAAATTAAATTTATAACAACTTAATATTTAAAAAGTAATACACTCTAAAAACAAATGTTTTGGTTTAAAAATGCAAGTTTGTATCAAACTTTGAGTTATGACAGTTTGTAATGAAATAAAACATTTTTTGATTACTCAATAATTGCACAGTCATTACTCAAATAAATAAATAAATAAATAAAGTTTATGTGAACATAATTGTGTGGTGGCCCTGGAAAAAAAACGAATCTTATCTACTTCATTTCAAATAATCAGCTAGCACAGCATATGCAAAAATGTAAACTATTAAGCATGTGAATTTAGTGAAGTAAGATGTTACTTGTCAACAGCATTAGCACAGTCATTCCTCATATGGTCAATGGAATTTAACAACTACAAGTTACTACAATTTTTTTTCTTTTAAATCAATTAATCCAGAAATTTGTTTAAATTACACACAGTATTATGTTAATGTAGTTTGCAACTTTTGCAACATTCTAAAGCAAATATTTAACTTGGGACCATGCATATAAGTTGTGGTAATAGGTAACCTGGATTTGTTTTTTGGAGTGTAAAGCTAAGGGTAAATATATTGACCTCTTCTCCTGTGACAAGTATGGAAACTTGAGTAGAGAATTTCTTTGTCAATCCATCATGCTAATTAATAGTTTCCAACTCATTGACACCAGAGCTCCCCTTTCTCTTACCTGGTGGTCCTGAATTTTACGGCCCACTACTCTGAAGGCGTTGTTGCCAGTGTGGTGATAGATGTGGACTCGACTAAAGCCTGTGGATCCACCAGCTGGAACCCACTTCTTATTGGCGTCGTCATATACCATGACAGCAGCCCGCGCCTGACAGATACTCTGCTCACTGAAAAGAAAGAAAGACAGACATATGCATTAATGGATAAAGGAAAACAAACTTGCCTTGAATAATCTTCAATGGTTAAAACACTCGTTCAATAAAACTCACAAAATTCAATAATGTAATTTAAAAATTTTTTTTTTCTATTTCCTCCTCCTGTCTCTTGTCTAAAATGGCAATAAATATGGGAATCCGTGCATTACATTCTGAGAATACATTTTATGTTAATAATTGCAGTAGTTAACTGTTCTTCCAATCACAGAAAGCTTTAAACCATAGAGAAGTAACCATCCGTCATACGATCCTGCACTGGCACTCAAGTACAGTACACCTTTATAGGTCACGCTTTCATTAAGCAGTCACCCATTAAATGTAAACACTGGAAATCATTTTCCCTGTCTCTCTGCTCACTTTGCACTATAGAGCAACTATAACACTAAATTATTTACAATGACTTTCAACCTCCCACTGCGTTAATAGAATACGAAGAGAGCCACTGAAAGGTGCTAACATGCACTTCCCTTGTCATGTGATTACATGGAAGCAACACTTAACGCAGGTGGAAAAAGGTAAGAGCGAGAAAACGAGAACGAGTGGAAAAAGTGCTCTGACCTTGTGGAAAAAATACTTCTGGTTGTGCTCCTTTAGAAATCTCCCTCCTTTAGAAACCTTGACAATGTTTTGGCCATATTTCGTTCAATAAATCTGTTCTAGTTATAATGAATTTGTGCCACTTCTATATTTCGCGAAAAAGAAAACAAGGCAAAGAAATGAATGCTAGAATTTATGTCATAGTTTACGACCAGCTGCGTTTTGTCGGTTGCTTGGCTTCTTTGCACCAAGTAGCTTCTGGTCTTCCTGGTTGAAACTGGAGCCTGACCGATATATCGTTTTGACAATATTATCGGCCAATATAAGCCTGTCGCCGATATATCGGTATCAGCAAATATGCCGCCGATATGAACTTTTTTTTTACAGAACATATAACGCAGATAAAATGCTTGAAATGGTGTAATTACTAGTTCGTCCAGCAGAGCGTGCTCCATTGTTTGCTACTGGCGACCTGGATGAAACACTTTAAAGCTTAAGTCTATGGAAAACCACTGAAACTTTGAACGGCCATATCTCCGTAACTGCGTGACGAATCCGTACCAAATTCGGGGGATCCCTTCAGCTCGAGGAACCCTCTCGAACGCGAATCGAGTGTACGTCTAGAGGCCCGCTTTCGAATAAGACCACCCCCGCGTCGATAGCCCCCGGGGTTAGTGAGTTATGGGTGGTTAAATTCGCTGTCCGACGCTGACCAATCTGGCGATCCCGGGGGGCTACCGACGTGCAGAGGGTGGCGTTCGAGAGGGCTCCTCGAGCTGAAGGGATCCCCCGAATTTGGTGGAGATCCGCCGGCGCGTT